CGTCGGGACGTACGGGCGGCGGCGGCGGGAAATTTAAAAATTTTAAATAATGTAATTTTTTTTTTTTTTACATTTTACATAGTAAAATTGCTGCCTCAACCAATTTCACATACATTTTGTCCCTAGTGCTTTGTCCTGTGCCCTGCCTGCATTTTGTCTGTTCTTTCTGCCTGGAAACTGAGAAACGTCCATGGCGTCCAAAAAGTGTCCCTTTAGGTCAAAATCAGTTTTAGACCGGCTAGAGAACAGCGATAGTAAATTAGAACCAATTGCAGAATTGAGTGATAATGATTTGTGGGGAAATTCATCATCAGACACTGAAAACGATTTTGCGACTTTGCTCAGCAATGTGCGAACTTATTATGGCGCTATATTTCAAATTTCAGTGTTTTTGGTTTGATTATATTATTGAATTAAATGTATTATTATTAATATTATATTATTATTTTTTTATGATTATTTATTAAATTATAATTTATGATTTTGTGTTTCAAATTTTATCATACCCGGGATGTTTACTAGACTCTTGTTCAGACAGATTTCAGTGAGTTATTCCTAAAAATTACAGCCTACAATAAATGCAAAATAATGGTACCGCTTTCAGCACCAAAAATCTGAAATAATCATACCGCCAGGGAGGTTAAATACCACCAAAAGAAAGCTCTAGTTGTGTGAAGAAAATGATAAAATTTTAGTTTGGGTACAATGTTGTATGACCGCGCAATTGTCATTCAAAGTGTGAGAGCACTGAAACGTGAAAAATGGCCTGGGCAGGAAGGTGTAAAATTACACGGTATTGAAATGGTTAAAGAGGTCCAGAAAACAAATATTGCAAAAAGAAAAACAAAAAAACAGAAACAATCGATTAATAATTCCATGTTTATTGAATCCCCTGACTTCACCTCAGGAAGAGTTTTTATTTACAGATACCATTAATAATTCAGTTACTGGACAGTGGTGACAACAATTTTTGGCTTTTTTTGTACGACAAATTTAGAAATAACAGAATGAAACTTTGGGTAGCCAGCAGTCACACTGTGAAATGCGTTGACATGTTCCAGAATGCATAGCCCATAACATATTGCACAGTGAGATTTTTATAGTCTCCAGTAGGTAGGTCTATTCAGCGAGCTCACTAGCAAGGCAATATGTTACAAAGGCTTCTAGGACAAAAAATGCTATACAAATTCAGCAACAATAACAATAAAGTAAAATAAAATACAAAATATCGTCTGACTCTCATTTCCCAATCTGAATCCAATTAGGTTTAAGAATAAAAGGAAAAGGACATTCTATATTTTAAATGACCACATAAGTAATTCAAAAGTAAAAGCACAGACTGACCTCAACGATAATCTGAACGGCATGCATTGCTGAAGCATGCACTGAATCCTTAATCAAGTAATATTTATGGCTGAGACAATGGGAAAGGAAATGCATTTGATGTGAAGCCAGTGTACAGTCATAAAGCCATTCACATTCCTCAGTTAACAGATTCATACACAAGAAAGGGCTATAATGTGCAGCTGTCTGAATTGCAAATCCCAGTGCTGAGGAAAAGCTTTCCAAAAGTCTAAAATCACATTTTTGCTCCAGAGTGTATGGTGCCATGGCATGTCTGCTAAATGTTTCTGGGGGAATGTTTATTTCCCAGTTTATATTCAGAAGCAAAATAGATATTTACGTATAAAAGTTCCTAATGCTAAAAGAGCTACACATACAAATTTTTTATTGAATTATTTCATCAGCCTAATAAAAGACTAACGATACAAATGGCGGTATTAATCAATGTCTAGTACGGTTATACAACTCTTCTAATTAAAATCGAAATCATTCTAAATCTTTCCACTTGGAAACACTTACCGTCTATTTAGGTGCCATGATTATACGATTCATCCTCTGCTGGGCATTCCAAATTCTGGCTTTTGCTGTCCTGGACTCACAGAATTACAGAGTAAGGCCCCTTTCACATGACTGGTCCAATTGGGGCCTCTTCTCTTTTTTTCAGGCGGGCCTGACCTGACGCTTATTTCACTTCTATAGGGCGGGGAATGTAAACAGACTTGTGTCCGGTTACACCCGACTACCTCTAATCTATCTGCTAAAACAAAAGAGGATTCTTTCCCCTTCCGTCTAGCACAGTGGTCTCCAAACTGTGGCCCGGGTGCGAGATGTGGCCCTTTGCTTCCCTTTGTCTGGCCCTTGAGGCACTATTCCACTTACTGACATGACACACTATTCCTTCCGCTGATACCAACAATTGGGCACTATTCCTTCCACTACTAATGATGGGGCAGAATTCCTCCCACCGACACCAATGTCCGGACCCCCGAAAGTCTGAAGGACAGTAAGCTGGCCCTTTGTTTAGAAAGTTTGAAGACCCCTGGTCTAGCGGATCAGATTGGAGGGCAGTCAGATGTAAACAGAGCACACACAGACCTGTCATCTGCCCCGCTCTGCTTAATAAGGGATCAGTGGACCGATCCCCCACTGAGCAAACCAGAGTCAAGCAGAGTCTGCCCCACGTTAAAGGGGTCTTACATAGTTGGTCTGATTGAAAAAATATATATATTTTTATTTCAACTATCAGAAAAAATTAACAAACATATAAATTGAAAACTCCATTATAGATATAACCCGTATTGGTTGATCCAGTGGAGGCAAAAAAACACCTAAAGCATGGTACCATATAGATATAACCCTATATCCAAGGTTGATCCAGTGGAAGGCAAAAAACACCCTAAAGCATGGTCCACCTGGGGTAAGCAATCCCTCTTGATCCCCTAATGCAAACAGATATTCCCTGAATGGATCACAAGTCTCTTAACTTATTCTTATAAAATTATAATATCTAGTTATATTCTGTGCATTTAGCTTTGTTTTGATACAATCAACTAAGCTGGCAGAACTAGGTCCTGAAGGAGACTATTGCACATTTTCACAGCTGTTACTGTGAAGAAGCCTTTTCATATGTGGGGGGTGTTAAACCTCTTTTCTCCATTCACCAAGAGTGCCCCCTTGTCTTTTGTAATGACTGTAGGGCCAGTTCACACCAGAATGTGGTGCGGGAAATCCATGTTCCATGCAATCTGAGATCAGCAGGTGTCAGTGTCTGGTGCTAATCAACTCATTAAAATGAATGGGCTGAAAGTGCACTGAACCAGTATTGCATTTGAATGCTGTCCTGTACAATTCTTGGTGTGAAATGTTCTTTAAAGTGAAAAACTTTACACCAAGTTCATGGTATAGTGCATGTAAAAACCTCTGACATGGATTGAAAAAAGCATATCCTTCTATAGTGCGTACTTGCCTCAGTCCAAAGCCCTAGTGTGATTCCTGTCTGAGGTCGCATTCCTCTGCTATCTACATGAGTCATTTCTGACAAATATGGTGTTAAAACCAAGTAAACGAGAGGTAGCAGGCCTCCAGCACACAGCCTGCAGTTGACAGCCTCAGTTGTGCATGTTTTCCTATTAAATTACATAGAGTAAGGGTGTGGTCATTCCTTCTACTCAGGTCTCAGTTTACACTTAGTTCTCCTCTCTGAGCTGTGCATTGTGTAACATCAGATCCCCACCCCCTGCCCCCCCCCCCCCCCCCAGTGTAATTTCTGAACTTTAAACAGCTGTAGAGAAGAGACAACTGCAGATAAACAGGTACGGCTTATGGAGGATTTGTTTCATCTGTATCACCTGAGGCTGGTTACTTCCCTAGGCAATGCACATGTAAGGGTTTACAACCAATTTAAGGCTCTTTCCCCTAATTACTAATTGGACTCACAGCATTGAGAGTCCTCACCCACCCCACCCCCTCCCCATTCACAGTGCCAAGGTTTTGTCTTTTGCCCTTTACTTGCAGTGTTAAGGTTCTATCACCCACCCTGGACTCACAGTGTCAATGTTCTATACGTCACCCTGGACTTACAGAGGCTGCCCTGCTGCATAAAGTGGGTAGCAGGGCGCGTCAGTGGACAATGCTGTGGAAGTATGGCAGCCAATGATGGATGATGTATAGGAAAACTGGTGCTGAGCATCACTTCTAAGAGTGGAACCAAACTCTGTGCAGAAGATGGTGAAACAGGAAGGTGCTTCCAAGTGCAGTATTCCAAGGGTCTTGAAGAAGGAGCTCTGCTCATGCTCTGAAACGCGTCACCGCTCCATGCTTACATCACTTCTGGTCCGTGGACAGCGTGCGCTCCAGTGGTCCAGATAGAGCTGCGGCCATCTCTACACCTCTTCTCAAGCTCCCCTGCAGCTGCTGGCTGGCACAGCAGCTCCATCGCTTAACCACTTGCCTACAGGGCACTTATACCCCCTTCCTTACCAGGCCAATTTTCAGCTTTCAGCACTGTCGCACTTTGAATGACAATTGCGCGGTCATGCAACACTGTACCCATATGACATTTTTATAATTTTTTTTCTCATAAATAGAGCTTTCTGTTGGTGTTTTACTTTTTGCGCTATAAACAACAAAAGTGCAAAAAATTTGAAAAAAAAAAAGTTTCTTTGTTTATATTATAAAATTTTGCAAACAGGTAATTTTTCTCCTTCACTGATGTGCGTTGATGAGGCAGCAGTGATGGGCACTGATAGGCACTGATAGGCAGCACTGAAGGGCACTGATAATGCACTGATAGGCAGCACTAATGAGGTGGCATGGATAGGCGGCACTAATAGGCGGCACTGATAGGTGGCACTGATGATGGGTACTGATAGTCAGCACTGTTAGTCAGCACTGACTGGCGTCACTGCTGGGCATTGACTGGCGCAACTGCTGAGTACTGACTGGCACAACTGCTGGGCACTGACTGGCAGCACTACTGGGCTGCACTGATGGGTACTGGTGGGTAGTACTGGTGGGCACAGATGGGTAGCACTGCTGGGCACAGGTGTGTGGCACAGGTGGGTGGCACTGATAAGCACTGGTGGGTGGCACTGGTGGGCACTGATGGGCACAGGTGGGTGGCACTGCTGGGCACAGGTGGGCGGGGCTGGTGGGTGGCACTGCTGGGCACCGATCATCAGAGCACTGATCATCAGTGCCCTGATGATAGGTGCCGATCCCCGCTCTGACAACTGCCGGTTCTCGGCAGTACTTTCCTCACGTTCTGACAGCGTGAGGAAAGTGCAGCCGAGAACCGGCAAATTGCATTTCCCTGTGATCAGTGTGTCACTGGACACAGCTGATCACATGGTAAAAGGCCACTGTGATTGGCCTTTTACCCCATCACGTGATCAGCTGTGTCCGTAGGACACAGCGATCACGGAGATTGCCGGGGGCGCGCAGGAGAGCGTGTTCTGGGAGGACGTCATGTGACGCCCTCCCAGAACTGGCCGGCCGCAGTGCAGCCGTCATTCGGCTATCTGCGGTCAGCAACTGGTTAAAGGACGAGCCCTGCTATTGACGGATTACATTAGAGCCTTGTTATACTACCACATTGTAAGTGTTTTTAACTGCTTTTATTAAAAGTTGACCTTGGAATACTGCACTTAGAAGTGCTTCCTGTTTCATCTGCTCTGCTGCATAGTAGTGCCATTGACAGAACACCTTACATTTTTCCCAAAGAATGAATGGACAAGGTGGAGAAGCAGGGTGATGACATCACAACCTCTGCCTCATCTATTTAAAGATGGCTTTGCATTATTTTGATTAGAATACAAGTCTTTCTCTGAATGGCACCCATGCCCATGGTTACTAGGTAGCAGGACAGTCCTTTGGCATGGGGCCTGGAAGACAGGTAAGAATATTGTAGTAGCGGTGGCTATTAAAGTGATTCTCCACTTTCACAAGGATCGGCCAGGTATAGAATATGTATACTTACACCGGTTCAAGCTGGACCAACTATGCAAACAAAATCTATACTTGGAGTTCAGCTTTAAGAGTTTCTTTCCCAGCACGTAACTACAGGAGAGAGCAACAGTGTTTCCAACTAAATTTAGGGAGGGTTTGTAAACAAACAGGCACTTTTCTCCTGTCTGCAAATGTCTGTAGACAAGAGAAAAGTCCTTGTTGCTGACTCTGAACTGCACATTAACAGTTTCGGAGCCAGCCAACTGGAGAACTGCGGGACTCGACCTCGGATCAGGTATCAGGAGTGGCTTATAGTCCCATGCCCAGACGCATGAGTTTAGGCCGAACTCGGCAGTTTACTAATTACCTGGCTGAAACTGCACACTTTTCTCCTGTCTATGGACATTTATGGACAGGAGGAAAGCATTTTCTTTACAGCGTTTTACCACCAGCCGCCCACAGCCCACTGGTGCTGAAGGAATGGAAGGTAAGTATAAGGGGCAATCTGGAGGAGGGCGTTAGGGGCAACTCAGGAGGAGGCTGTAAGAGGGAACTCTGGCAGCACTGAAGAGGACATTAGATTGCAAGCTCCAAGGAGCAGTGCCCTCCTAACCCTCTTGTATTGAACTATATCGTTGCTGTATTGTCTCCCTTTATATTGTAAAGCACTGGTCAAACTGTTTGCACTATATACATCCTCTATAATAATAATAATTCTGGAAGATGTAATGGGGAACTCTGGAGCAAGTAAGGGGGCTCTACTCTAGAGAATGTGAGCGGGCACGCTGGATTATGCAATGGGACACTCTGGAGGCACAGAAGTAAGGGGACACTTAGGAGGACACTATGAGAGTAATGATGTAACGGGGCATTCTGTAGGATGTAAAGGAGCACTTTGGGGGCTCTGCTGTAAGCTGGGATTCTGGGGGCTCTAATGTAAGGTGGCACTCTGGGGGCTCTGATGTAAGGTTGGCACTCTGGGGACAAGGATGTAAGAGGGGACCAGGGGCGGACTGACCATTTGGAAACTCGGGCACTGCCTGAGGGCTCGGGGTCAGTAGGGGGCCCCATGAGATACCCCTGGTACCTTTTTCATAGGCTTTTTTTGAGTTTGGGCAAGGACAAAGGGGCCCCATGATCCCCTATTGCCCGGGGGCCCCATGAGTTGTCAGTCCGCCCCTGGGGGGGACTCTGCAGACTCTAATTTATTGATGGAATGCTAGGGATTTTGTTGTAAGGGAGGATCCTGCTGTAAATGTGATGCTGATCCTGATTGCATGTTGTTCTGTTTGTTACTTACTCTTGACTCCTGCACTCTATACAGTATATTATGCTGCAAGAACCGACCAAGGTGTTCATTGTCTCAACAGTTGCTGGTTTTAATGAGGATCTTCTTTAAGGTATGCTCACTAAAAATATAATTTTAGTGTGCATAAAAACATATGTATGTTTAATTTAAAATAAAAAAGATCCCTTGTCCTGAGGTTTGTGTATGTGAGACTTTCTGTTTTGGTGCAGTAATTTGCATTTTGTGGGTACAAAGCCTGTGGTATATGTGTGCAGTGCACCCACCAGTGCCGCTCATCTGTGCCCAGCAGTGCCGCCCAAAAGTGCCCACCAGTGCCACCCATCTGTGCCCATCAGTGCCCAGCAGTGCCACCCATCAGTGCCCAGCAGTGCCACCCATCAGTGCCACCCATCAGTGCCCAGCAGTGCCACCAGTCAGTGCACATCAGTGCTGCCAGTCAGTACCCAGCAGTGTCACCAGTCAGTGCCACCCAGCAGTGCCACCTATCAGTGCCCATCAGTGCTGCCTCCCGTTGCCCATCATTGTTGCATATCAGTGCCAGCTCATCAGTGCCGCTTATCAGTGCCATCTATTAGTGCCCATCAGCTGCCTATCAGTGCTGCCAGTCAATGCTGTCTATCAGTGCAGCCTCATCAACGCACATCAGTGAAGGAGAAAAATTACTGGTTTGCAAAATTTTATAATAGAAACAAAGAAAAATGTTTTTTCACAATTTTTGCTCTTTTTTTGTTTATAGCACAAACAATAAAACACCCAGCAATGATTAAATAACACCAAACGAAAGCTCTATTTGTGTGAAAAAAATAATAAAAATTTCATATGGGTGCAGTGTTGCATTGCTGTGCAATTGTCACTCAAAGTGCGACAGCTCTGAAAGCTGAAAATTTAACTGGGCAGGAAGGGGGTATAAGTGCCCGGTAGGCCAGAGGTTATTAAAGTGTATGTAAACCCTAACAATGATCCTATGTCATACCTTTTGACTGTTAACCACTTGCCCTCCAGAGGATTTACCCCCCTATTGACCAGGCCATTTTTTGCGATATGGCGCTGTGTTACTTTAACTGACAATTACGCGGTCATGCAATGCTGCACCCAAATGAAATTTACGTCCTTGTTTTCCCAGAAATAGAGCTTTCTTTCGGGGGTATTTGATCACCTCTGTATTTTTATTTTTTTTGCGCTATAAACAAAAAAAGTCTGACAATTTTGAAAAAAAAACAATATTTTTTACCTTTTTGCTATAACACATATACATTAAAAATTTTAAAAATCAAATTTCGTCATAAATTTGGGCCAAAATATATTCTGCTCCATGTCTTTGCTAAAAACAATCCCAATACGTGTAAATTAATTGGTTTACATGAAAGTTATAGCGTCTACAAATGGCGGTATATATACTGGAATTTTTATTTTTTTAATCTTGTAATGGCGAAGATCAGAGAATTATAACGGGACTGCAGTGGGCATACTGACACTGGGTGGGAACTGACTAACTGCCATTGACATTCCAATGACACTGATACAGTGATCAGGGCTAATAAAAAGCACTGACACTGTACTAATGGCACTGGGCAGGAAGGGGTTAACATCTGGAGCGATCAAAGGGTTAACTGTGTGCTGTTTTACTAGGGAAACATTCAGAGAAATACACAGCAGCATGTCCTTGTTGGCAGGAGAGAGACCTGTGTTGTTTACATAGACCTCTCCCCTGTCAGTGTTACTCGCCGGGTGCAGGCAGAGAATCTCTGGCCTGAACCCAGTGATTAACATCTGTAGCCACCAATAGCGGCGCGGGAAGGGCGGCGTGCACACCCCCTACTCGGAAATGCAAATCACGTGTATATATATGTGATTTTGCGTAGCCCTGCCGCCCTGTAGCAGTAGTTCTACTATAGAGTGGCTTGGACGCTGTTAAAGTGACTCTAAAGCTTTTTTTCTTTTTTTCTAAAATAATAAATATGTCTCTACTTACCTTCTCTGTGACGTTATTTTACACAGAGCAGCCCCGATTCTCTTATTTTTGGGTTCCTTCTGGCGCTCCTGGCTCCTCCTCCTCGAGCAGTGCCTCCAGGGAAATCTGCTCACCCTGGGGTCACCTTTGCATGCTCCTCCCTGAGCTTCTGCTCATAAAACACATAGAGCCGTGGCCCTGCCCCCCCCCCCCCCCTCCTCATTGGCTCACTGGCTGTGATTTACAGCAGTGGGAGCCAATGGGCTCCCATGGCTCTCAACCAATGGGGAGGAAGGGTCCCCAGACAGCAGAGGATGTCAAGAACATCACTGGTTCAGAGGGGGCTCAGGTAATGATTAGGGGGGCTGGGGGGGGCGCTGCATGCAGAAGTTTTTTTACCTAGATTAAAAAACCTTGAGCCTTTACAACCACTTTAAATACACAATGGGAAAGCATTTGGTTGAATCTGTTCAGTACATGCAAAAAAAAATGCAGGTTCATCTTGCCAAAAAAGCTCTTATATTACAATAGTTGCAAGCTATTACTAAGAACACCCTCTCCCTGTATTATTCAGAATAAAAGATGGGGAAGTGTTCTGTAGGTGTGGTGGTCATAGAGTGACAGCACTGCTCCTTTATAATTTCAGTATGGTGATCTGGTGATCGGGTGTTGTCACCCTAGTACAGGAAGTGTGTTACTGACAGGATCCCTCAGAGACCCATATGCAGTTCAGTTTTGGCACCAATTCACAAAAAGAACTTTGGGGAACTGGAGAAAGTACAGAGAAGGACAACCAAACTGATAAGAGGCATGGGGGAGCTCAGCTATGAGGAAAGATTAGAGGAACTGAATATATTCTCTCTTGAGAAGAGGAGATTAAGGGGGGATATGATAAAATTTATAATACATAAGGGGGGATATGATCACCATGTATAAATACATCAGTGGTTCATATAGTGAACTCGGTGTAGAATTATTCACTCTGAGGTCATCACAGAGGACAAGGGGGCACTCTTTACCTCTGGAGGAAAATACATTTAATCTCTAAACACGGAAAGGTTTCTTCACAGTAAGAGCTGTAAAAATGTGGAATAGACTCCCTCAAGAGTTGGTTCTGGCCAGTTCAGTGGTTTGCTTTAAAAAAGTTGTGGATTATTTCCTAGATACACAGAATATGACTGGATATAACATTTATAGGTAAAGTTGATCCAGGGAATATCCGATTGCCTCTCGGGGGATCAGGAAGGATTTTTTTTTTCCAGCAGGAGCAAATTGGACCATGCTTTGCTGGGTTTTTTTGCCTTCCTCTTGATCAACTGTGGGTATAGGATTATAACTTTTTTCTATGGTTGAACTGGATGGACTTTAGTCTTTTTTCAGCCAGACTAACTATGTAACTATGTAACAATGGATGAGCACAGTGGGGAGCCACCTTATCACAGGATAAAAACACCTGATTGGGGTTTTAACCTCTTCCTACTCTGCCCCCTCAAAAAAGTTTGCCAATACAGTTGTGTTCACAATAATAGCAGTCAGATATTACTGTTTTTGGTAGAAATGATATTTCTACATGGCAAATAATTTACTAGCAGGTGTAGTAGAGTAATAGAAATCCAACAGACCCAACAGTCATGACATGCATGCTGCTGATTCTGTGTCATTGAATCACTAATTGAAAGGGGCATGTTCAAAATAATAGCAGTGTGGAGTTCTATTAGTGAGGTCATTCATTCTTTGAAAAACAGGTGGCAATTATTGCCCTTATTTAAGGAAGGAAGGAAGGCAGCAAATGTTGTACATGCTGGTTACAGTGCATTTCTCTCTGAAATTCTGAGGAAAATGGGTCATTCCAGACATTGTTCAGAAGAACAGCGTACCTTGATTAAAAAGTTGATTGGAGAGGGGAAAACATATAAAGAAGTGCAGAAAATGATAGGCTGCTCAGCTAAAATGATCGCAACTGCTTTATAATGGCAACCAAAACCTGAAAGACGTGGAAGAAAGAGAAAAACTACCATTCGAATGGATAGAAGAATAGCCAACATGGCAAGGACTCAGCCAACAATCAGCTCCAGGAAGATGAAAGAAGGTGTAAAGTTCCCTGTGAGGACTGTTACAATTAGAAGACGCCTATGTGAAGCCAAGCTATCTGCAAGAAGTCCCCGCAAAGTCCCACTGTTGGAAAAAAGACATGTGCTGAAGAGGTTACAATTTGCCAAAGAGCACATTGACTGGCCTAAAGAGAAATGGCGCAACATTTTGTGGACTGATGAAAGTAAGATTGTTCTTTTTGGGTCTAGTGGCTGGAGACAGTTTGTCAGACGACCCCCAAACACTGAATTCAAGCCACAGTACACTGTGAATACAGTGAAGCATGGTGGTGCAAGCATCATGATATGGGGATGTTTCTCATACTACAGTGTGGGGCCTATTTATCGCATACCAGGGATCATGGTTCAGTTTGAATACATCAGAATACTTGAAGAGGTCATGCTGCCTTATGCTGAAGAGGAAATGCCCTTGAAATGGGTGTTCCAACAAGACAACAACCCCAAACACACCAGTAAATGTGGAACCTCTTGGTTCCAGACCAACAAGATTGACGTTATGGAGTGGCCAGCCCAATCCCCGGATCTTAATCCAATAGAAAACTTGTGGGGTGACATCAAAAATGCAGTTTCTGAGGCAAAACCAAGAAATAGAGAAGAACTGTGGAATGTAGTCCAATCATCCTGGGCTGGAATACCTGATCACAGGTGCCAGAAGTTGGTTGACTCCATGCAACACAGATGTACAGCAGTTCTCAGAAACAGTGCGACTACAACCAAATATTCATTAAGTGATTCAAAGGAAAGCAAAATCTTCAAACATTTTTCAGTTTATATAGTGAATGTTTGAGTTTGTAAAGAAGAATACAAACACTGCGATTTTTTTGAACAGTCTAATATTCATTTTTCTTCAATTTTTTTAGAGGAACAACACAAATTTGATGTATTTTTCTTCATGTTTTGATTTGAAATAGAATGTGTCGTGTTCCCAATGCATTTGTGTGTATGGAAATAAAAGCTATTAGAAGGATTTTGAGCTTTATTCACTTTTTTCAACACATTGCTATTATTTTGAACACAACTGTACACTTTAAAACCAGAATGGGCAGTCTAAAGCAGAATGGATGATGGTGCCTTATGAAGAAAAGCTAGGCTTAGATAATGGAGTACAATCATGAACAGCATACGGAGGAAAAAAAAAAAAAAGATATGGCATGTGGTTGCAGCTATAGAGAGGATTTTGAACAACATAAAAGTGAATAGCCAATAGAAGATACAATTGCGAAACTAGCTTCACCTTCAATCCAATTTCACTGCAGTAGCTTTTTTTTTTTCTGCAGCTAGATGATCTCAGTCTGATGGTCAGTATTGTTGAGCTGAGCTGCCCTGGGTTCAG